CATTGTACATCCTTAACACGAGTGAATTCAAGTCTGATCCAATCTGCCAGTTTCTCATTCGTTCATTGAACCTTCCGTCAGTTTCTGCTGACAGGAAGTATTCAGCTGATGCTTCTCTTCTTTCCACCACCTCCGTCTTTTTCTCTCTCTTCCTTCTCCTGCTTCCGCTGCTCCACCTGCTTACTGGCCACTTCTGCAACACTCTCCGCCTCCTCAATTAGCAGCTCGATCTCGGTTATGGGAATTGCAGGCTGCTTGCCTTTCCCAGAACCGTCTGAGCTCTCATCACCCATCCCGGTCCGTTCTTTCAACGAAAAATAAAAATAATTTGGATTCATGCACACACACGAAACACAAACTAATCAGAATTTAATATTTATTGCGCTGTTTGTTTACAGATTAAACAAGGATTAGGATAGACAACAACAGGTTAGCAACTTAGCGCTTAGTGTCTGTAGGCAGACTGAGAGGTTGACGGACCAGATTAGCAGCAAAACAGTCGACGATTTCCTTTAGTCCTGCCGGTAATCCAAATGAGAAATCAAACAGATTCATTTTGTGTTTCCGATCAGATCCGTTATCGGATCATCCCATAACTCACCAGCACTGAGTAGCAAGCGAAATCAAATTTTCCTTTTCCGTTCAATCGGAAAAACAATATCCGGAAGGAACAATCTTTGACTGCGGAAACTTACAGATCGCACACTGTTCTAAATTCCAAAACTGATTGGCTATCTTACCACATGTGCCTTTGACACTGACAGCAATTTGACAGACCGCAGACTGACTTACGGACTTTCGGCAGGGGCAGAACCGGCTGCAAAAGGACTAAGACGGTATCGAGCCCGTCTAGATAGATACAACCTTCTGGAGTAGGAACAGGCAGCACAGGGCTGCCAGTTTTGCAGGTCAGAGTCGCACAACAAACCGGTGAAAACAGACAGGATGCTTTCAGATAGGGGGGAAGGCAATCAAGCCGTCTGACGCCGTAGCTGACATGCTGCATTCTGACACACCCTGATGTCAGGGTAGGTGGTGATGCTCCCCACCAATAGATGAAGCCTCTCCCCAGGTGCTAGTGGTGTCTGCTCTTATCAGCACCACTATCACCGAAGGGGGCACCTTTTTCAAAAAAAAAAAGAAAAAAAAAAGAAGGTAGGTAGGTTCCTGATCGAACTCACGCGTAATAATCTCAATTGGCGATGGAACGCCACTCTGTGTACAATAGCACAATCAAATTGCAGGGGCTCGGCTGACGTCAGTCAGTCAGCGACCTGTCTCTTATACACATCTAGATGTGTATAAGAGACAGGAATTGACCCCAGAAATTTACAGAAAAGCCCCCTGTGGGTAATAATTTCAATTGGCGATGGAACGTCAATCCGTGTACAATGGCACAATCAAATTGCAGGGGCTCGGCTGACGTCAGTCAGTCAGCGCCCACTATGAATTGACCCCAGAAATTCACAGAAAAGCCCCCTGTGGGGACTAGACGTATGCCAGTCATGGGCAAGGCCCGGGCTCGGAACTCGACAAAATTACAAAATGACCTTGTTATATTACAACTGACTGAGAAACTGCTGCAAGTTCACTGCACAGGAATGGGTCCACAGTCCTCCTATGGGACTTCTAGAAGAACGTCCGCGCGTACGCCGCGTAGTGATCGAAATTCACATACGACAGGGCTCGTTCGCTTCAATCAGGGCTGAGCCTGATAGGTCTTGCTAAGCCCTAGCGCCTACAACCACTGTCCAGTCAGGTCACCCCCGTTGAGACGATAGGAGGGCGAAAACCCTGAGTGGTAGACACTGAGGTAGGATTGTGGGAGTAGGGGTGCGCCTGGGAGAAAATAACAAGCGTGGAAGGTCGGGAGGGAGTATCATAAGGAATAGGAACCTCTACAGCCCATCCGGATATTAACCAAACTGCCGACCACCAAAGGTGACTGTCATGCCTCTACCATCCAACTTCTACAACAACCTGGACTCAAAAAAAAAAAAAAAAAAAAAAAAAAAAAAAAAAAAGGGAAAAAAAAGGAATATAATGGAGGAACGATTTCCTTTTCTTTTGTTTTTGGAAAGATTTGAGGGCCAATTTATTTGTGAAAAAAATAGAAAAGACTTCGAAGTAGGGATAAGGAGGAGGAGTCCTTCATTTTCAATTGGCATGTCGAGAACGAGGGGACAAAGCCCTTCAATTCAGGGCATACTTTTTTATTTTTATTTTTATTTTTAATTTTGCTTTTATTTTTTATTTTTACAAGAAGTAATTGAGGGCCATTCAGGGCAGTGTCACGCGCACGCTGTAAAACAGCAAAATTTGCCGCATTTGCTGTCACACTGGTGCTAATTGAAAAAAACAATGCCCCCTTTACGCCCTGCCATTTGTGAAATTGCCCACTCGTGTGGTCTCACACAGCAAATGTAGTCGAGGGGTGCCTGCACTTCTCTTCTAGGAGCTCACAGATTTGGGGGGGGGGGGGGGGGGGGAGGGCAGGAAGTGGCC